AGCTCCAGGAAAATAGGATGGTGAAGAAAGTTTGTTAATTCACTGGGTACTATGGGCCATTGAGGTAGACTGCCTATTAAGGTAGTTCTTGGATTAATGAAATTAGGACAGTTGTAAATTCTATGTATAGGATCGTCAATTTCATTTGGGCAAGTTATACAATTCCCATTCGCCTCCTTCCCAATGCGATGGAGATGTGTTCTGAAGGGACCATGCCCTGTAAGTATTTGTGTAGACGTAAAAGTACAGGTTCTTGGCCTCTGGGAAACTACAGGGATGAAGGCGTGGGTGGTTCGGCCTTTCGTTGACATGTCCCATCTTTCCTGCCAAATAACCAGGATTTCTTGCTGAAGTCGTCTATGTAATTGCTGAATGGTGTCAAATTCGTCTCTATGTAGCCTCAAGTTTTGAAATACAATTTCTCGCCGCCCCTGCGTCCATTGCATTTTGGACCGTTATGAAAGTAGTGCCAAATCAAGCGGGGGAACGCCCGCCAAGACCCCGGCAGCGTCCGTCGACACTGATCTATATCCCCTGGCCAATATCCTACAGAAGGTGCCATATAAAGTATTGAATCTTTTTTTATTGTTTGTCATTTCCTATCTGTTACCCCAAATTTGTATTCCATATGACACTATCGGTATAATTGCACAGTTGTAGATGGTGCCATCGATTCTTTGAAGTCAGTGTTCCATGTCCTTTCAATCTTACCCCTGAGAGCCATTATGATTTTTATTGCTCTTTTGCATGTTGTTCTGATATGCTCGGTGAAGGTAAGACCTTTGTCAATTACGATGCCTAGGTAATTGTAGGAATTTACTATCTCTACGGGTTGCCCTCCTATTCTTGTGTCCAGGACCCTGTGATGTTGTCTAGGAGGGGATTTATTTACCAGTATTTTGGTTTTGGTTGTAGAAATCGAGAGCTTGCACGAGGTTGTCCAGGCTACTATCCAATCAATCGCCTGTCTTACAAGTGTGGCCAGGTGTCCTCTGCCATTGCTCTGCACCACCACGGCAAGGTCGTCCGCATATGCAAATTATGTTAGAGTCTGGAGGAAGGTCACCGTCCAGGAGTTCATCAAGATGGCAGTTCCACAGAGTTGGACCGAGTACTGAGTCCTGTGGACAACCCATGGGCTCACGCTACAGTTTCCCTCCGAATATTTGACCTCCCTGTCTGATAGATACGATTTGATCAGTGCAATAGTATTATGTGGTACGCCTTTTCTTCTGAGGGCATAAACTAGTTCCGGCCATCTCATACAGTCGAAAGCGCCAGAGATATCGAAAAATATGGTTGCAACGTATTTGCATTGGCTGTTTCTGATGAGGTTAGTATAGTCCTGAAGGGCGGTAATTGTCGAGGAGCCTGTAATGAAACCTTATTGGCGGGGCGAGTGGAACCTGGGATTGAGGTCTAGCAATCTTTTCTTTATGATCTTTTCAAATATCTTGCCAAACTCCGGTAGTAGGATGATTGGCCGGTAATTCTTCGGATTTGCATGACTGCCGCTCGGGTCCTTCAACAGGACATGTAGGACTTCCTTTTTCCATTCAACTGGGAAGTGTGATTGTTCCAGGCACGCGTTATAAATTGCAAGTAAAAATTCTCTGATATTTGGATATATGGCCTTGATTAGTTTGCCTTTTATAAGGTCGTGTCCAGGGGCCTTGTTACCAAGGCCATGCACAATAGAGTCTAGTTCTTCTGCTTGTAAGGGTACGTGTTCAGGTCCATGAGGGAGAATCGGTTGAAAGGTTTCAAAATCTCTCAATTTTCTTATTTGCCTAGGAGTCAAGTCCTCTGCAGCAGTCGGTGCAGCAGAACATTCATTGACTCCTCCGGCGTTCGTGTATGTCCGTTACCCTGTGCAAAAAAGCACAGCGGTCCTTTTTTTCTGAATTTTTCTGTGGCCAACTTGTATACCGTACCTCATGGATCAGTCTGCAGACTGTCTTCTACAAATCGTCTCCAAGAGTCGTGCTTTGCCTGGCCCATAGCCTGTTTGAAGATTTCTCTGCGGGCCGTCATTTGGTTAAATAGATAGTCTCGGTCTTGTTGGATCACATTCGAGTTTAAAAGCCTTTTCTTTCGATGGTAAATTTTTCTAAACCTTTCCACTCTGTTGGTCCACCAGTTCGGCCTGTTCGGGTACTGCCTGACGCGAGCGGTATTTGCTATGTTGATATGGAATAGCGCATGAAATCTAGCAACTATTGTGTCAATTGATCTTGGGCTGTCAGGCTGGGGCAGCCTCCCAACTTCTGTGACGATGTTACGTATCTCATTATTGACTGTGTCCATATTTAGTTTTGTAGGGTCCAGGATATATCGGTTTTTAGAAGGTTGTGTCCTAGGTTCGTTTAGGACGAATAGTATGCAATTGTGGTCTGCGATGTTTAGCTTCCAGTCCACAACCGCACTTATTAGGCCGCTGGTGATAAGCGTCAGGTCGATGTTGCTGTGCCCATTTATCGTCTCAAAAGTTGACGGATAGTTTGGCCCATTGAATATTGCTAGGTCGTTAAATATTATAAATTCTTCCAATATCCCCGCATCAGCATCGTTATTGTTATCATACCATACCATCGACCTGCAGTTGAAATCGCCAGCCAGAATTGTTTCACCCACGAGACTGTCTAGAAGTATAGGTTTGCCCTGATCATATGGTCAATTCCTAGAATGAAGTCATTTATGTTAGTGTTGGGTGGTCTATATACAGAGATGATATTTACAATTTTGTCACGAATCTTAATACTAATAAAAACCCTATAACTATCTGAGAGGTGCTCATTAAAAATAAAATCTAAGTTGCCATGCACCAACAATGCAAGCGTAGAACCTGTTGTTAATGGTGGAACATACTTTTAAGGGCCCTGCTGTGTGGATTTTAAAGTTGTTATTATTTTGATAGCAGTAGGGCTCTTGGAATATTCCAACATCAATGTTATTTGTTTTCATGTAATTTAGTGTCTCAATAGTAGCAGTTCTAGAAAATTGCAAGTTAGCTTGAATCACAGATAAATTATTCATTAAAGTCAAAATCAACACTATTATGGTAGTCCTGTAGCCTTGCTTCATATACTGGACACTTCTTGGAGCCTGCGTCATGTTCTAGGTCTCTCTTTCCTACACGCAAACAGTTTGCGCACTTCACACTACCCTGCACTTCCTTGTTGGCGCAGTCCTTCGACTCGTGGTCCACGCTTGCGCAAAAACCACAATGCTTCTCCGAATTGCGAAACTTTGCAACATGCCCGAACCGTTGGCACTTGAAACACCGTGAGATATGGATTAGAAAAGCGAAAGAAAACATTCTATAAAAACGACAGCTGAACAGCCAATATATACAAACATATATAGGTACCCATTCATTCATAAGCAAGAGGTCGAATGGCAAATAAGAAAAATGTTGGACCAGAATATTATAAGCCCAAGCAATGCTCCTTGGTCTGCACCTATATTGGGTATTCCTAAAAAAGGCAGACGCTTCTGGGAGCAGAAATCGAGAGTAGTTATTGACTTCAGAGACGTCAATGCAGATAGATACCCTCTTCCTAATATCACGGTCCTCCTAGACAAATTAGGGAATTGTTAATATTTCACAACCTTAGATTTGGCTAGTGGTTTCCATCATATACAAATGAGTGAAAAGGACATTGAAAAAACGGCATTTAGTACAGAAAATGGTCATTTCGAATTTTTGAGAATGCCATTCGGGCTCACCAACGCCCCAGCGACCTTTCAAAAGGTCATGAAAGGCATCCTACGAGGAATCCAACACAAAAAATGCCTAGTTTACTTTGATGACATTATAGTCTCCTCGTCGTCATTGCAAGAACACATAGAGCGATAAGAAATTTTAAGATCCAATTAGATATAAGAGCGAGTTACTAAGGCACGAAGTAGCCTAGGATACATTGTAACCCCTGAAACCTAGATAAAGTCAACGCAATCAAAAACTATCCCATACCAAAAACAACGAAGCAAATAAAGGGATTTCTTTGACTTCATATTAGGTTATTATCGACGCTTCATAACATACACTCTTGATAAAGTTTAAATTCCACACCATAATAGGCAGTTTTTCTAAGTATGTCCTTATACATCTTTATCCGCTACCAATATATGTGATAATTAATCTCATATCCTTCTTTTCACATTCCATCGAAAATAATCACAGACAATGTATAAAATTTTATCTACGACCTTAAGTCTTAAGTCCCAAAGCAGGTTTTCTTTTAAATGATTCATGATTTTCTCTTATTTCTTCAAAACCATGTTTTTCAATTTGCTTGTTAATTAAAAAAATAGTCGTTAGTGTAATCTTAATGGACCTAAGGAATTTTTCCGAAAAAAAAATTAAGTTTAGATTATTTTCTTTTGTTTAGTTCGAAAAAAAATAACTTAGGGAATTATTTTTTCCCCAGCTCAAATTGCTTAATTTATCTTAGTGGAGACAGCTGATCCTTAGAATAATTGGAAGAATATCACTAAGAATAGCTAAAATTTACTTCTATCTGGAACAAAATTTGTGTTAATAATTTTTCAAAAGTTTTTCATTTAAAATTAGAAAACTCCGTGACACATTTAGATAGCAGTTAGAGAATATTTATTCCACTAGTTTGCCAGAAACAAAACATTTCATAACCACCACTTTCTGTGATGCCAAAATTTAGAACAAATAAATTAGATTTAAAATAAATCCAATAAAATCAAGTTAAAGATAACCAGATTTACACAATATATTATTCGTTATTAATAATTTACATGCAAATATCATAAACGCATTATTCAACGATCAAAATCCCAATCATAAATCAAATGAAATGTGAAAGGGATTTGAATAATCAGATCAATGGCACCAGGATTGCCCAATCAATAGCGACTTTTACTCAAAAACCAAAGTATTTTTGTACGCGCTTTTTACAATAGAACAGTGCGCATGGACGTGTTATATCTCAATTCACCCGAGGCAGAAAACGTTGAAACAGTATTTAGTTATAGGATATAGGAGAATACGTAAATGCGGTTTCTCGCGTTTATTTGACAATAATAATTTATTCAATGAATAACGGTTTTAAATTTTAAGGGTGAAGTGCAAGTGTAGTATTAGAATAAGTGACAATATGGTTGAAGCTCATGATTTAGATACCCTTATGGGATATATGGGTTAGTAATTATATCTTATCATTTATTTATCATTTACTTACAAAACCATTTTAGACACTTGAAAAAATATTTCAAATATGTGGTGCAAACCTATTAAATACTTTGAAAAAAAAACAGACTTTCTCAAGGATCATTTCAATACCATTTCGGATACTTTGAAAAATATTTTCCACATCAGCTCATCAGTCACTTGAAAACTTTTGAGAAAGATTTAGACAGTTCAGAACTATCTGAGAAACTTTTTGAACATCTTAAAAAACAATTGAAAATGTTTTTGGATTATTTGAATTTTCACAATCATTCAAGACACTTGAAAAATTTTGGACACTTTTAAGGAGTATTTTTCACAACTCAGAGCAACTTGACACTTTAAGAAACATTTAAATAGTTCAGAACTGTCTGAGACACTTTTGAGAAACCTTTCAAACAGCGTAAATAGGTGAAAGAACATTCGAACAGCTTTTTGGATTATTTGAATTTTCAATCATTGGAAGAATATTTTTCACAAATCAGAGCCACTTGAAGACTTTTAAGAATCACTAATTTGGACAATTGAGAATCATCTGAGACTCTTAAAAAAATATACAGTAGAACCTCGGTTATCCGAGGTAACGTAGGGGGGTACCTACCTACCTCGCATAACTGAAAACTCAGATAAACCGAATACATATATGTATACAGGGTATACCATATTTAAAACAAAACAGGCTAAATATCTGATGTCACTTTTTTTTTTTTTTTAATCGTTCGTAAGTATACGTAATTTAATTGTGTGAGTGTTTGAAGCATTTTCAGCACTAACTTACCCCTCTAGGAACAGGAGTTCGAGTGATACCTGTTTCAAAAGAGCGCTCAATTTTCTTTCAAATGATATCAAATAAAAGAGAATTGAACACTCTTCTGAAAGAGGTATCACTCGACCCCTTGTTCCATTTGAAAGAGTGAGGGTTGGTCCCACCCCGCCTAGAGGCCAGAGGGTTGAAGTTGATATGCTGAAAAAAATTGCAAAGAACTTCCCCTTTTGAAAATCAAATTACGTGTACGAGCGATTTAAAAAAAAATAATCGTGGCATCAGATATTAAGCCTGTTTCGTTTTAAATGGTACACCCTGTATGTATGTACAGGGTGTTTTTTTATGTATTGACACCCCACCTACAGCCTTTATCTTTACAGATAGATGAAAAGTGAAAATACAAAAGTTGTACAGGGCTGCGTTCAGGATTGGCTACAGTCAAGCCAAAATTGGCATTTTGCGTTCGAGTTCGGCTCCAAACTACGTGGTTCAGCATTACCGGTGGAGGGGGAAAAGTAGGTTTTGGCATTAGCATTGCCGTCCTTGAACGCACCCCAGTATTATTGGCTAAATTTTCAGAATCCATGGTCAGAAAGAAAAATTGAATGTCAGAAATGTGAAATTTTTCATGCTTTCAGCTTTTTTCAAATAGGATGCGCAATATTTGGTTCTATATTCTTAAAGAGCACAATTTCTCGATTCCAAAACTATATAGTTTGTCTATATTTAGTTGAGCCGTCTCCAACATATTTGGATCTAAAAATTTTAAAAATACTATCAGAGGAACCAAGTACTTCAAATTTTATCTATAGCTTTCACCTGTACAGGTAGAATGGTTCACAAAATCAGTAGTAGGATAGTATTTTTACAATTTTTGGAGCCGAATATATGGGAGATTGCTCAATCAAATATAGATCGGGGCATTGTTTCTCTTCAAGAATATAGAATGAAATATAGGGCATCCCATTTGAAAAAAGCTGGAAGCATTACAAATAAGAGGATTATTGCGGAACTTATGGGTGGACCTCTGCGGGACGAGCGCAGCGAGTTCCGCAGCCATCTACTCACCAATATACTGTTGGAACTGTTCAAATAAGACACTCACCTGAAACGTGTAGTTTTTAATCTAATGAGAAAAATTCACAACTGAGTGAATCAGGTAAGTATTGTACTTGAACAAAATATTGGTGAATAGATGGCTGGGTCCACCCATAAGTGCCGCAACAATCCACTCGTTTGTACTTGAATAACTTGTCATATTACTAGTTTGGTTGGTAAAGTAACATTACTAATTCCTGTTAATAGGCAAATTGACAAAAAGCGAATAATCAAATTTTGACGTTATATAATAATTTATTGTTCAAGTACAAATAAGTGGATTGTTGCAGAATTTATGGGTGGACCTCTGCGGGACGTGCGCAGCGAGTTCCGCAGCCATCTACTCACCAATAATATACTGTTGAACTGTTCAAATATGAAATAAGACAATCTGAAACGTGTACTTTTTAAACTAATGAGAATAACTCACATTTGAGGGGCGTACATGAACTGCGGACCAAAAACCATAAATGTGTCCTGTGTATTTAATGACCCATGAATTGCCAAAATTTTCTTTCAAGAAAACATTGAAAAGCGGTGAGAAGTTTTGGACGTGTACTTTCAAAAACTGTACTGCTATTACCTACGAAATAATATCTACTACCATAAGCGCAAAACCCAACCACGATTACCGAAAAGCCTAAGTGAAGCGATAGGCATTTTGGAAGAAACCGACGTATGGAATGTGGAAAGTGAGAATTTTTTTATTTGTAAACGATAAACAGTTCGAGGCCGCCGCATTTGAGTGAGTCAGGGTAGTATCGTAATTAAACAACATATTGATGAATAGATGGCTGCGGAACTCGCTGCGCTCGTCCCGCAGAGGTCCACGCATAAGTTCCGCAACAATCCACTCGTTTGTACTTGAATAACTTGTCACATTATACTACTAGTTTGGTAAAGTAACATTACTAATTCTTGCTAAAAGGCAAATTGACAAAAAGTGGATAATCTTACAAATTCTGACTTTATATAATAAAGTTATTGTTCAAGTACAGGGTGTTTTTTTTATGTATTGACAATTGACACCCCACCCCCTTCACCTTTACGAGTAGATGAAAGGGGTAAACATAAAAGTTGTATATTATTGGCTAAATTTTCAGAATCCATGGTCAGAAACAAAAATTGAATGTCAGAAATGTGAAATGTTACATGCTTTCAGCTTTTTTCAAATGGGATGCCCTATATTTGGTTCTAAATTTTTGAAGAGCACAATTTCCCGATTCCAAAACTATATAGTTTGTCTGTATTTGGTTGGGCCGTCTCCAACATATTTGGTTCTAAAAATTTTGAAAATACTATCAGAGAAACCAAGTACCTCAAATTTTACCTATAGCTTTCACCTGTACAATTACAATTTTTGGAGCTGAATATATGAGAGACTGTTCAATCAAATATAAACAAACTATATATTTTTGGAATCGGGGTATTGTGCTCTTCAAGAATATAGAATGAAATATCCCATTCGAAAAAAGCTGGAAGCATGCAAAATTTTACATTTCTGACATTTAAATTTTGTTTCTGACCATGGTTTTTGAAAGTTCAGCCAAAACTGTACAACTTTTGTGTTTACACCTTTCTTCTACCTGTAAAGGTGAACGCTGTAGGTGGAGTGTCAATATATAAAAAAACTCCCTGTATAATCTAGAAACTCGTTTAAGACGGAGTATGGACGTGCGTACCTTAGATAATCAAGATTTTTGGTTCTTTAGACTGACTCGGTTAATCCAGAGCTCGGATAATTCCGACTCGGATAATTCCGACTCGGATAATTCCGACTCGGATAATCGGGGTTCTACTGTAGTTCAAATTTGCTTACCTACTTTTTTTGGTGCCACGCCCAAAAACAATTATTCTGAGCTTTCAAAACAAATTTTCTGTATCACCGATATTCTTATTTGACATATGGTCGTTTGTACCGACCATTTTAAGAGAAGTGTACCGATAATCAACGCTTAAGGTGACATTTTTACATATAAAAATGTCACTTTGAGCATTGATTGTCGGTAAACCTCCCTTAAAATGATCGGTGCAAACGGCGAACAGAAAAGTAATTATTTGTGAAAAAGATAAACAAATTGGGAGACAAACTCTCTTTATTAAGTACTTTAAGAGGAACAAAAAATACTAAACTAAATAATAGAATAACAAACGGCCTTTTCAAGGAACAATGAAAAGAAATACGTCATTTTTATAATAAGAAGCACGGGAACTCTTACTGTTAATTATGAGAAAAAAATTTCATGTATCACAAAAAAAATGGGGGGGCTCGAGTTCCCCCGTGCCCCCCCGACGCGCTGCCTCTGTTTCTGAGGATTCATTTTCTGTCAAACTTTTAACTTTAGGAAATCTTTTAAATATGTTCAAATCTAAAAAAACTTTTAGGTAAAATAGAATTTATTGTTAGTTTGTTCTATAAAATACCTCAGACACTAAAGTGATATTTTTCAACAACTCAAACTCAAAATTATTTTCATACTTTTGCAACCATTCAATACATTTTTAAGGAATATTTAAAACATCATGTCAGACTTTTGAAGAAACACATAAAAAGTTTAGATATTCCTTTCTGCATATTCCAATCAAAAACCTCCATCAAACCAAATCTGTACAAACAACTTTGACAAATGTAGATAATGAGGATTTGATTATCAATTTGACTTTCTATATATTCCAAAGAATTTTTGAGATTTCATCCATGAACAATGTAAAGAGCAATTGGCCACAATTCTATCCCTACATCCCATTTCATAAATAAACCATTGAAATAATTTTTCTTGCTCGGCTGCATATGATAATGATGTTTTCATTACCGTTTCATACCGTTAAGTAAATAATTTATTCCAATATTTACACGTGGTTGCATTTGATTTACGCATTAGATACAGATATATCTTGGATAAGATAAATATTTACTTTGTATGCGAGGCTTATAAATAAATTATTTTGGCACCAAGTTCAAATTAAAAGGAAAAGTAATCTTTAACAGGTGGTTTTAGTATAAAAGTTTGATTAAATTATTGTTTGGGGCTTGTGCCAACTATTTGCACATGAATTTTGCCGGCCCCAATAATTCATGTTTGTTATATTATAATATAGCCTCCTAAGCCTCCCAATTGAAATCTTATAAAATTATTCCTAATTTTAAATATTTTTGAATACATTTCCATGAGAAGCCTATTATTATGTACTTTATAAATTACTTGACTGTTTTCACTTGATAAACTTAATGTTAGAATAAAATAAGAAACTAGAGGTCAAAAGTTGTATTTAAATAAAGATATCTAAGGCCTTTTATCAATAAAAAATTTTTGGGGTCACATGATGAAAGATTTTCATTCAGAGTGCAGTGGAACAAATACAAATAGATTTTAGATATTCATTTGAAAGATTATGCCAGTTCAGTTTCAAAAGTTCAACCAATATTTTTAGCTTTAAATGTGCCTATATATGTTGACTATTTTAGCACCTATTTTTAGAACAATAGTACATAAAATTATCATTTGACAATAAGGATTATTTATGTAAAATTTTATTTTATTAGCTACCTACCTATATTGAATTATGTGCATTCTTTTATCTGTTAGGTATACAATTTGAATAATAATTAAATTCCTATTATTCAAAAACTTGAGCTTAAAACAATTTGTAGATATTCAATTTTTTTTAAAAATTTAAAGCTACTCAGAATTGTGCATTATGAAGTTTTCAAAAAATAAATCTCTCCTTAATTGATTCTGATAGCTCTAATACTTTCTAAGCAATTGGAGCCTCAAAGTTGAAGTTTGGTCGAAAAAAATTTCAAACTCATATTTCTCGATGACTATGAATGTTGAGTCCAAACGAGCTGAAACTATCAGAGATTGTAGTCCTTCACGAGAATAAGATTCTCACAAAATTTCAGCTTTCCATCTATAATAAGAATTGAGCATATCCAAAATGTCTCTTAGAGTTTAATATCGTCTTTCACTTAGACTATACTCAAATTTCAGGCGATTTTGGCAAATACCAAGCATGGCAGTTCACATTACACATCCTATCTGCTGTAATAGCAGGCCTCAACATGTTGCAACTGGTCACAGTGGCGGCTATACCTGAACATAGGTAAGTCTTTACGAATGTGTAAAACAATTTTGCCCTCTATAAGCTCAAAATATTCTATTCATAGAACCCCAAGCACTAAAATTCTCATTTCAGATGTGAAATTCCAGGTGAAAGCGGCCTGAGTTTCCGAAACGAAAGCCTTTTAACAAACTACATCCCCCTACTACCAAACGGAAACATGGACAATTGTCACTTGTTCAACATTACAACAAACGAAACGTACAAATGTGATTCCTGGATATACGATGACACCTACTACAAATCGTCACGAGCTATAGATTGGAATTTCGTTTGTGATCAAAGGTGAATTGATTTTTTGTGACAAACAACAACATCTCCATACATATTTTTTTTAGGTGGATGGGTGCAGTAGCTCAATCCATGTACATGTTCGGAGTGTTCACTGGAGCAGTAACTCTAGGCACCATGGCTGACAAATATGGTCGCAAACCAGTATTTTGCTGGTCAGCTTTGTTGCAACTCATTCTAGGAGTTGGAGTGGCATTTTCGCCCGACTATTACTCGTTTATCTTCATAAGATATTTATACGGAATATTCGGATCGGCGGGCAGCTACATTCCAGGTTTTGTTTTGACGATGGAACTAGTAGGCCCTAGTAAACGATCAATTTGTGGCATGTCTTTCCAAGCGGCCTTTGCTTTTGGAATTATGTTGGTAGCTGCATGGGGTTCCTTTGTCAAAGATCGTTTTACTCTTCAAATAATTTATGGGCTGCACGCGTTAGTTTTAATAGGTCATTTTTGGCTAATGGACGAGTCACCTAGATGGCTTTGGGCTAATGGCAGAAAGAAGCAATCTGTTGATATAATTAAAAAAGCTTTAAAAACCAATAATAGCCCCGTTAACATAAATTCCGATGATATTTTAATTAAAACTCAAGGAAGTCAAGGCAAATTAGAACAGCCAACTGAAGAAGCTGGTATGATGGATTTGTTTAAAACTCCCAGACTAAGAAAAATGACTTTGAATGTTTGTTTGGCTTGGTTTGCAAATTCTATAGTTTATTACGGGCTTTCGTTGAGTACAGGTAGCTTAAAAGGCGACCCATACTTGATTCTTCTTATAATGGGCTTAGTAGAAATTCCTAGCTACGCTATTAGCATATATGCCATGGACAGATTAGGCCGAAGGCCTATAACGTCATTCAATATGATTTTAGGTGGAATATGTTGTATGCTAGCTGCTAATTTAGCTATGGGAAGCCCTCCTAGTACCTTTTTCGTTTTTGTTGGTAAATTTCTAATTGCCAGCTCATTTGCAGTCATCTACAATTACTCAGCCGAACTTTTTCCAACGGTTATAAGAAACTCTGCCATGGGTTTGGGTTCGATGTGTGCCAGAACATCAGGAGCCCTAACTCCATTGATTATCTTATTCGATTCGTTTAGTCCGTCGTTGCCTTCGACGATTTTTGCTGTGATAGCTTTAGTCTCAGGGTTTTTGACTTTATTCTTGCCAGAAACTTTAAATAAAGCGATGCCCCAAACGATAGAGGACGGTGAAAATTTCGGTATCGGTGATACATGTTTTACTACTTGCATGGGTAGTAAGAAACGGAAAGAGGAAACGGTACCGCCCCCGCACGAACTGGAACCTTTAAAGAAATAAGTGTGTTTTATTATATTTTTTGATAAATAAATTTTTATTACGTTTGAGATATTGAATTTAATTGAATAAAATTAACAAATTTTCAGACTTTTAACTGTCTTTGCAACTATTTAATTACGCATTGTACCAAAATATCAATTTTTTGAAAACCAGACTTAGGTGAAATTCAGGGTATAAAATTTACTCCCTCAATCTCTCACTGGTATCCATCTTCAGAAATGTCGAAATTTCTGTCCTGACCTAGAAGAATATTCCCTAACAATTTCACATTCACATCTGGGATAGGTAGGTACCTACCTACAGTTGGAATTTTGATTTTTCATAGTTTTTACAACGGAAAAGGAAACTTCTGAGCTCATGTTTGTACAGAGGTCGAGGCCATTCACGAACTGCTTCAGTTTTTCTCTCGTCAGTATGAATTCCTTCCGGCGAAACTATATGTACATACGTGTCCCTGAGAGTGAACATTTCTTGTCATTGAGGGCCAAATTATGGTCCGACTGGTAACGTTATTGGCAAATTTATCCGGCTGGTGAAGCTAAAAATTGCATTCAAAGAGGGTAAATTAGCCAAAGACTTTACCAGTCGGTCCATAATTTGGTTCTCAATCGGAAGTTTGCCTTACAGATACGAGTAAATACTTCTTGCAAGTTTCATACTTGCTCATCGAAAGTTTTTCCCATCACTAACACATCATACAGGTATAGAAGGCATACTTTCCACGTCAGTCCTCGTAGTACGATTTCCATCAACCTCTCGAAAGTACCGGGGGCGTTACAGAGACCAAAAGGCATTCTCTGGAACAACTGAATGGTACTTTCCCTTAGAGGATTGTAAGTATCTCAAACTATGAGTTTAAATAAGCTGAAATTTTCAAGATTTGTAGTCTTTCCCTACAATAATATTCTCTAATAATTTCACATTTATATCTGTGATGCCTACAGTTGGAGTTATGATTTTTCATAGTTTTTAGAAATGAATCTTCAAAAATGTGCGTAGATACCTCAATAAGGGTCTTCTTGAACGTTTGGATTGATTGAAGGAGTCCAATGGAATGGCCGGCCAGGTCGCCGGATTTGATTCCTTTAGATTATTTTGAGTCTAAAGCTCCGTCTAAAGTCTATGTTGAGCGATCCAAAACAATCAATGAACTAAAAATTAGGATAGCAAACAAAAAAAGATCGATAGAACTTTTCGTTATCGATAAAGTTATACATGAATTTCAAAACTGTGCTGGATACTGGCTGTTGTTCCAATTTTTCATGTTAGAATTTTAACTTAAATTAATGATTATTTCGGACCGCCTTAACTCCATCCGGCGAATCAATGAGAGATTTGAGGCCGAAATGTTTGGAAATAGTGCAGCGAAAAAATTGAAAAACTCTAAAATTTCCTCTTCTAGTCCTTAGAGGAATTGTATCTCTAGAACTATAGCTTTAAATGAGCTGAAATTTTCTAGATTTGTAGTCTTTCCCTAGAATATTTTCCAAAAATTTCACATTCATCATATCTGTGATGCTTGCAGCTGGATTTATGATTTTTCATAGTTTTTTAGAAATTAGAAATGTTCAAATTTCAAATTTTCCATGTTAAGATTTTGACTTGAATGATCATTTGGAACCGCGTTAAGTTCATACTGCGAATCAATAAGAGATGTAGGGCTCTTGTAAAGTGAACACTTGAAGCACAAAAGTTAAATTTTACGTAATCGTTTAACGTTTAGTTAGTGCTTCAATCCCCAAATTAGCAACAGCAAAATCGCCTCCTCACTTCACACCCAGCAGGAATAACGGATGAAGCACCAACGTTCAGTCACCAAAATCCCAAAGCGTAGAATATAGATGGAGAAAAAGTTCAGATTCAAAATACATGTCCCTTCGATACACTAGTTCAATGCTTCTCTAGTGCTATCTGCGATTCGAAAGATGGCGTTCAACAATTCATTACTGCTTGAAGTGAGCCACCTTTTTTTTCCTATCTTAAAGAATTTTTGAAACATGGAGCAATCTCTAGAATTGAATCAGTTAAGAGCTGAACTGCTCTACAGAACAACGATCTACAAGAAAATTACTTTGTCAAACAACTCTACCATACTTAATTGTATTCAGAATATCTGCAACGTGACTGACTATTTTATTGATAGTTACACATTTATTCTTAAAAATAAACGCCTTTCTCCTGAATGTCACTATTTCGAAGGGCAGAAAGTGACGTCATTTGTCTTGTAATTTGAATCGATCCAGAAGATACACAAAGAAGGATTCCAAAATTTGGAAGTGTTGGTACCTAAATCATCAAATTGAGAAGATGGAAAGGAGAATGAAGACATGCTAGTAGTGATCTAATAACATTTGTGGGAATATGAATATAACGGATTGTCAAAAGAGAAGCTAAGGCCCGGTTTATTCACATACTGATAAACCATCGGGTATATTATCTGACGGATAAAAAACATAATCTTTAATCGTATTGGTCGGCCAGTTATACGTCGACTAATAGGATATTATCGAGTGGCAAATTTGTCTTGTAGATAGTTACCAATACGTTTATCGAAGGATGAGTAAACCGGCCTAAGCATTAGGAAGCAATTAGTAGGTAGGTACGTACTAATCATATTTATAACTAGGTAGGTACCTAGCTAATTCAGACCAGAGTTTATGCTGTTCATATTCCCGGTTCTCGGCCCTGGTAGGGTGAAATCTGCAGACGATTGTAAAAAGTCGAAATATCTCGGGAAGTATAAGAGTTGTTAAAAGCTGAGGTGGTGCATCATGAAGCACCAACGAATCATTAACGATTCATCTACAAATGAACGTTGGTGCTTTCCATGTTCCTGCTGGGTGTGAATAGTAAGCAGGCGATTTCTGAATAACGGAATATCTCTGAAAATATAGGGGTTGTTTATTTAAGAATTGAAGCACTAACCATTCATCTGTAACTGAACGTTGGTGCTTCTCTTGTTCCTGCTGGGTATGAAGTAATCAGGCAGGCAATTTTTGAAATCCGAAATATCTCTGAAAATTTAAGGGTTGCTAATTTGGGGATTGAAGCACATCGAAACACCAACAAATCACTAACCATTTTTCTGTTACTGACCCTTATTGGTGCTTTCATTGTTCCTGCTGAGTGTGAAGTGAGCAGGCGATTTATAAAAAACTGAAATATCTCTCGATCGAAGTACATTGAAGCACTAACGAAGCACATTGAAGCACTAACGAAGCACTAACCATCTATCTGCAACTAAACGTTGGTGCTTCCAATGTTCCTGCTATGTGTGAATTAAGCAGGCGATTTCTAAAAACCAGAATATGTCTGAAAATTCAATAAGGGTTGCTAAATTGGGGATTGAATTATTGAATGACATTGAATCACCAACGAAGCACTAACCATTTATCTGTAACTGAATGTTGGTGCTTCCCTTAATCCTGCTGGGTGTGAAGTGAGCAGGTGATTCCAAAAAAACAAAATATCTCCGAAAATACAAGGGTTGCTAATTTAGGGATTGAAGTACATCGAAGCGCTAAATGATTACGTAAAATTTAACTTTCGTGCTTCAAGTGTGCCTGCCCACTTCACAGAGCGGATTTGAAGCCGCAATATTTGGAAATCGTGCAGCGGAAAAATTGAAAAACCATAAAATTTGTTCTTCTTGCTCTTAGAGCCGGATTGTATCTCTGGAACCAGAGCTGTTGTAACTACCAAGAAAAAGTACTTAAGTAGAAGTTTCTTTTTATATACGAATCAAGTAAGAAGTAAGTATAAGTATCAGTACAAAAGTATATGTTGGAAGAAAATACGGTAAATTTATCACCTTTCCCTATCAAATAGCATTGAAAGGTGATAAATTTTACCTGTACCTGTAGACATCGGATTGTGAACGGATAATAGGTAATGTTCGAATTAAACTAACAAATTAGATTATTGCTATAGATATACCTAATCTTAATGGGATATATGAATGATTTGAGCCTTTCATTTGAAAGTCTACAGTGAATAGACTTCCATCTTCTATCGTATACTGAATACAGGATTAATATTCGATATATTCATTTTGTTTTTCAAGTAAATTGTACTCAAGTATTTAAAAATACTCCAATTTGTAAGAATATTTACCTACTTCAAGTAATTTTTACGGGAGCTTTCAGGACGTAATATAGTCGACTGATATTTTTAGTAGGTATTATCTATACAAGTAGGTACCAATGTTTGGATTAGTACTCAAGTCAAATACTTAAGTATCTTTGTATCTTTTTGTACCGTACCTACTTCAGTATAGACTTCAAGTACCTATTTGAAATAATCAGTAAAACAGCTTTGTCTGAAACTATAACTTTAAATGAGCTGGAACTTCCAAGATTTGTTTTAGAAATTTATCTTCAAAGTCCTTCCTTCTCCTAACTTTATACTTACCTACTGCGATTTATTAATTGTGAGATTTAAAGTCAAGATGTTTGAAAAAAAGAGCCGCGGAAAAATTGAAAAACGAATAAAGTTCATCCTCCTTGCCTTTCGCAGCCGAAAACTTGAAAAATTATAGAATTTCCTTCCGAGGAACTTCTATGCCTGGAACTATAACTTTAAATGAGGTGAAATTTTCAAGACTTGTAGTTGGAGCAAAGATCTTTTATGTTTTGGAAATCTATCTTCGAAGTTACCCGCACTTACCCTCCTTCAAAAAAGTTGAAGTTTTCTCCAAAACTATTGAATATATTGTACTCTAGCGCAATAGTAGGTAACTTTTGATCAGGAAGACTTTCTCTAAACAATATGAAAAGTTCAGGGAATCCCCACATAGATCATGCACTTCTTCATGAAATTTGAGTGGGGCTCTATAACTTCATATTGCGAATCAATGGAAAGATTTAACTACGAAATTTTTTGAAAATGAAAAATGATAAAACTTTCTCCTCTTGCTCTTAGCAGGATTGTATCTCTGAAAGTATGTATAACTTGGAAAGTCTTCTGTTCCGATTAATATCCTAAAAGTCTGGATTTTTCAGAAATTATAAATTGTATGTAGTAATACCGAGGGGGTAAAGACTCCTTCGAAAAATGTACACGTATTGCGATAACCCTATGATTTCCTGGCAGTCGCTGCGATTTCTGCGACTGTTGAGGATTGCCATGAAAATCGCAGTGACTTCCAAGGATTCTCATAGATTTCCTGTTGATTGTGGGTCTGCCAGAATGATTGCGAGACTGTAAAATGATTGTGAGACTGTCAAAATGATTTCTTGAGGGATCTCCAGTAAATGTGATAATAATCTTTATAAAAATGTAGTAATGTAGAATTTTCAAATAATTAAATCAAGGTATGGTTCATATAAGTCAGAGGTTTCTGAAATATTACTTTCTATATTTTCGCGGAGATTGTAAGATTTTTGTCAACCTATTTAAAAAGAAAACACATTACAAAATCTTCAAAAAACTACTTTATTTCTTATTTGTAATGTAGGTAAGTCATTTCAATTTTCTAAATTCTCCTTCAATACTCAACTTGTCACATGATTCTAAAACAAATGGTTCATTTCCAACCAAATCTATTGATCCATGTGGCTCTAATTTTTCTAAAACTCTCCCAATGTACCATGTCTCATAATACACTGCATAATATTTCTCACAATGGATTTTTTTTGCGTCAGATATTTTGGATTGTGCAATTTTGTCCTTGATTTTTTCATCAACCGAGGAGTTATCTAAGCCAGCCAATTCAGAATCTGGAGTAGAGTCCTTTGGGTCTGGATTTAGAGAGTAGAGACAGTTTTTTTTTTATGTTATGCTTTTCTCACGGTTTTTCATAGGAGGCTGTCATCCCTCTGCAACGAATCAGATGAAAGTTTTCTTTTTTTATCAAAAAAATAACCAACAGAGAGTGGACTTTCTAACAAGCATTTCTCTTGTGTAAACAGTGATATTCAATCTAGAAATATCATTGGTCTTTTTCAACGACGTCTTATCGAATGTGCAACAACACGACTCCGAAGGAGGAGTGGTGTTGCTGGACACGCGTTGAGTGTCAGGTAAAAGTATTAGGTAATCCTGAAACATCGAATGGTATTCAAAAGGTTATACAACGAACTAAATTTCAATACTTTCATTAATTTTTATTATTATTAATAACAATATTGCCACCAAGCGCGATAATCCCAAAAAGCTTATCACTTATTAAGCCTCTCGTGTCATATGGGAATAATGTACAGTGAGTTTTATAATCGAATGTAATACCACAAGAGATTTCAGGATTACCGGATAATACTCTTACCTGTCACGAAACGCGTTACGCAGCAACCATACGACTCCGAAAAAGGAGTGGTGTTGCTGGTAACGCGTTGAGTGTCAGGTAAAAGTATTAGGTAATCCTGAAACATCGAGTGGTATTCAAAAGATTATACAACGAACTAAACTTTAATACAAAATGAAACAAAATTTTTTCTATAATAGAATTTGCTATTATAATTGCCACCAAGCGCGATAATTCCAAAAGGCTTATCACTTTTTAAGCTTCTCGTGGATGTCATTGTTCTCGTGTCATATGGGAATAATGTACAGGGAATTGTATAATCGAATGTAATACCACAAGAGGTTTGAGGAAGGAGGAGTGGTGTTGCTGGTAACGAGTTGAATGTCAGGTAAAAGTATTAGGTAATCCTGAAACATCGAGTGGTATTCAAAAGGTTATACAACGAACTAAACTTTAATACTTTATTAATTTTTATTATTATTAATAGCAAATGAACAATATTGCCACCAAGCGCGATAATCCCAAAGGGGAATAATGTACAGTGAGTTGTATAATCACTATAAGTCAAAGATATTCAAACTCGTCTCAGACTTCCGAATCTTTGATGAGAATTTCAGGATCTTCTTGACGTTCCTCAACTAAATCTATTTGCAAGAAAATTCGTTCTAAAGAGAACTGATTATTTTGTTCAGAAAGTATAATATTTAAGTCTTTGGCATGGGCTATTGCATCAATTCTTGCATTTTCAAGTATTAGTTTTAGTTCGTTTATAGGATGGAAGTTCAAGTTCCTTTTCAATTTCACAAGTTGATTTTATACCAACTTTTTTCTCACTATCTAAGAATGTAGGTGATTGCCGCGATTGTCGAAAGATTGTGAGATTGCCAAAGTGATTTCCGCGACTGCCACAATCATTAAAAACACGCCCTTTCATGATATTTCCCCGATTATGGCCGCGATTATGGGACTGCGAAAGCGATTGCAGAATGGATTGTCAGTGATTGCGGCGACTGCCTATATTGGGAATATGGGATTTTCCTATGACTGTGAGGGATTGCCCGCAATTTTATTAGAAAATGTATGTACATATAAGTATTGCGAGAGTGGTTACCCCTTTGAGTAATACTTTCAAACTTGCAGGGCAAAGGGAGGTGAAAGAAGCTAGACTTTAGGGTATAAAACCTTTAAGTACTTGAAAATGATTCTCCATGTTCTCAGTTCTGGCTGCTATCCTAAATTCATGATTTCTCATAGTTCAAGAACATCTGTAGAGCTAGCAAACTTCACCATCAAACTTGGATTGAAACTTATTCTGCCATAAAACCTGACTCCAACCATCTCTACTTTCACCACTTCTACAAATTTTCCAGCAAATCTCCAGAAATATTGGAAAAATACGAATTTGTTTCATTCAATGGGCAAATATCAAAAAAAAAAAAACTGGAACCAGGGAGCGTGCCCTATTTTAACATGGAGTAATTTCAGCAGAATAAAAAAACTACCAAATGATGAAATTATTACAAAGAATAAGGTCAACTTTTCAAAATTAGTAGGGTAACAACTTTTTCAAGTGGTTAACTTTAGTTATTTTCATGCATAAATTCGATCTATCTTGCACCAAATTTATTCTATTCTGCTAGTGATCGTTCATGCTTCTCTTATCCCCAGATGGACGAAAGTTCCTAAATATTCAGTTCAAATTATCGCCTGAAGTTTGAAATGGTTCAAATTTAGTACTCAATGAAAAACGTTTCATAATTCGTCAACAAGAAGTGTATATTTATTATAGAAAATAAAGTATTAATGCTGACACTAATAATAGAAATACATTGCTGAAATAAAAATTAATTCAAACTCTTGCAGCATCATTCAAACCAAAACTTAATAACTTATCAAAAAAATGAAAAGCAAACATGTTTTTCTTGATTCTCAAGCACATGTTTAGACTCTCAACCAACCTTACAATAATTATTTACATATACCACAGAAACAATGCTAACATTGATTTTTAAATACGATTCGGACAAGTAGTCTGAATAATTTTTGGTTTAGCTCCTGTATTGTTAGCAGCATTCACACCTAAAGCAGTGTGAACAACAATACTGGGTTGGCCTGGAGAAGGGGGATGTAATTCGTGGGTTCCCCCAGGAGATAAAGCAGCCAAAGCTGCTAGTAGGTCATGGTTAATTATGGGTTCGCCTTCGGCTCGTGGCTCCCAACCAACTGGAGGCGACGCAGGTGGAGAAATAAGGAACTGTTTATATGGTGCTGGTGGCTGTAAAGAGCTGTTCTTAACAGGCGTTACTGGTTGGGCGAAATAGCAAGTGATTATCGAATCTTGAAATGGGTATTGGTGCAATTGGATTCTGGCTGTAGCTGCCGCCAATGGAGTGGTAAAGTTTACTCTTAAACGTCTGAAACTTTTGAGCCATTGAAATGTCACATCGGAATCGTAGATTTTGAATAGGTTTTCTAAGTCGCGTTTTTTATCTGCAAAAGTTGAAATATATAATCACTGTTTTTAGGTGAAATCGTTGTTTTACCTGCACTATTGAAAACAGATTCGTTAACATTTGTTACAATAAGTGACAATGGTAGACCATCAAGTTCGTCCTCTTCAGAGTTAAATTCAAATTCGTCCATATTTTGTTCGGGTAGCAGGTTGGGGTGTACATTGGGAAGACCATCTTGAGCGTTTATGATTATGTCTTCGTCGTTAAGTTCTTCATTACTTTCGGCCATATTTCACTAGAAATATCTTACAACAGAGAGGATTTAAAATGGTTTATAGGCCAACTATCCTATGGCACTTAAATTCTAATTAAAAATCTAGCTAATCAAAGCCTATTTCCTGCTGATTAAAATCATTGAAGGAATAAAGTATGAGACTGGGACTATAACGAGTTAATTATCGAATAAACAAATTGGGTTAGATAGAGATGCATTCTTACCTTGTCCAATTAGAACAATTTCATACCAAATTAATTTAATTATAAACAAATAATTAAATAATTTTGGTCTCCCCTTCCACCAACACAATTCGTTTTGTTTATATTTTTTTAAATGTCACTTTTTTATGAAAGTCAAAGGTCAAACTCAAATTTCGATAGTAGAGAAGGATTTATCGATATTCAAAGGTATCGATACGATACGATATTGGTTGTATTCCTTTCAAACATAGGAGAAGCTCCGGAACAGCTGTTCCTTATTCTTGAATTAAGGAGCAGCGTTCTCAGCGTTCCGTCTTTCTCAATATACAACTGATGATATAAGTAACAAAGACGGAACACTCGCTCTCCAGGGCTCCTGGTAACGCTGCTGGGGTGCGTTCAAAGACGGCAATGCTAATGCCAAAACCTACTTTTCCCCCTCCACCGGTAATGCCGCACCACGTAGGTTGGAGCCGAACGCGAACGCAAAATGCCAATTTTGGCTGGGCTGTAGCCATTCCTGAACGCAGCCCTCTGCTCCCCTGTTTCCAGAATAAGGACCCTGGTCTGGAACTCTGTAACGGATAAAGATCGTTATCCCTATCGCTATGGCACTTGCTGTCTTCTTCGCTTCTGTCTAAATCAATAGAGAGGAGACGTCAATAGAGATAGAGAAAATATCTCTATTCATTACAGAGTCCCAGCCCTGGGGCGTTACGCGCTTATTCCTATCGAAAAGTGTTTGTTGCACCACGCATCTGTAACGCCGGAGCGAGTAGCTTGAGTGTTTTAAACTCTTGAAAGGAATACAACTAATTCTTTCGAATAACGCTTTAGATCAAAACATGATCAAAAAGCGATCCAAAATGGATTCACATGTTCGGAGCATTGCTCTCTGCGAAATTCACGTGTTTGACTTGAGAGAACGCTCTCAAATCTCGCATGGAGCGCTCTTTGTTGCTCTGTCAAATTTGCTCGATTAAAGAGTTCGATCCAATGACGTTAAATGATTTGGGTGATTTTGAGCAAAATCCTGACGGTACTCTGCGAGGTTGGAACAGAGTATCGACAGAGGTTTTAAAATGAACCCCTCATTTTGTAGCTTAAATTTCATGAAATCTTGATTGGTGCCAACCGCGATTCAATACGAGGTGTTTTCTCGCATCTCGAATGTTTTAAATCGTTTTCAAAACGTTTGAAACAGGACACTGTGACAACATGACGTCATAACTTCTCGGCGTGAGAAAATGGTTTTGAAACGTTCATTGGATTGTATTTCGAAATGGTTTGAACGGAACTTTGGGTTTAAACCATCCTGATGTGACGTCATGAGTTTATCGCGAGAATATGCTAGGCAATTTTTCGCGAGGATTACCAAGCATACTCGATTATGCTCAGATGTTATGTGTCATTTGTGTCATACTCCCCTAAGGGCGGGTATTATAAAACTGCTTTGACTGTTAACTTGAAGTTAACTTTTTGAATTACATGTATTTTCAGAAGTTAACTTTAAGTTAATTCTCAAAGTAGTTTTATAATACCCGCCATAACTCTCCCACCAACAAATTCTGTGATACTCGAGGATCGAGAACAACTTAACTTCTTCTGTGAGAACAGACCAAAAATCACCTTTTCTACATTTAAAATCGACGAAAAAGTTAACTCACTAGCACAGCCTGAATTGCAAGCATTCCATCGAGGTCTGTGGGTGACGTCATCACCATAATGCGCTGCCTGATTCTATTTTATGAGTTGAGTCGTAATTCGTATCGAATTGTCAAAATAGCGATTCTATTTTACGATACTTCAATACGTATTAAGCCTAGTACTCATAACAGCGAAATTTACTCTTTTTTAACATTACTTCGATAATTTGACGTTTTATGCGTGAATCAAACGTCAAATTGCCAAAGCAATGTCAAAAAAGAGCGAATTTTGCAGTTATGAGTACTAAGCTTTACACGGCACGTCCGGAGCTGTCCTATTCGATATCGAGACAATCCGACTCGATTCGTAAAATAGAATCCGGGGGCTGCTGATCGTGACGGCACCCGCAGGCCCTGAATTGGATGGTGAGGGAGTTGAGAGAATGACAAAATTGACACATAACATCTGAGCATATTTGATTATCCTCGCGAAAAATTGCCTACTGTTTCAAACCCATTGAGGTTTCAAACCTGTAAGTGAACGCGAGAAAGAAAACAGCTCAGCTGCCGGATTCTATTTCACGAGTCGAATCGAATTGTTCGTTATGACACTCGATATCGAATACGACAGCTCCGGACTTACCGTTTAATAATAGGTCTGTTTCTACAGAAATCACAAACCAGTCTGAGTGAATTTCATTGGTTGATAGTGTTGATACTAGTTTTCTGAATGTTTTCAACCAATGAAATTCGCTCTGACTGGTTTGCGATTTCTGCAGAAACAGACCTATTAAACGAAAAATCGGAGAATAGATTCGCTATTTTGACAATTCGATACGAATTTCGACTCGACTCGTGAAATAGAATCCGGCTGGTTCTCAAAAGAGTCTCTGGCTCAGCAAACTAAATAGCGATTTCCATTTGTCAATTAATGCGCACTGAGTGTATCCGCATCTTTTTCTAAAAGCATGAAACATGTAAGGATAAGGATAGGTACATTTTTTTTTGCACTGGTTCGACAAATGGAAACCGCTATAAACTGCTGGACAATTGCTTTCGAGCAAGGAATTTTTTTCACAACTTTCAAGCTCAATTTGGAGCCAGACCAAATATCAACCTTCGGTTTTCACGGGCTGACAGATTGACTTTTTGTGGAAAAAATTGCTATATGGAAATCAGAGGTCGATATTTTGGTTCCAAAAATATCGAGCTTGAAGGTTTCCTTCTGCTCGAAAGCAATTGTCCACCAGTTTATTAGAGAGCTTCGCCCATTCAAGGACAATACACGCTACTACAGGATTGTTTATGGACTCGTTTTTGGTAATAGCGGTCATATGGTGTAGCACCATTCCTGACGTCATTAACTAGGTCGTCAGCAGTTTGTTTGTGCCATCGGTTATAGTTTAGAATTTGAATTTATGATGAAAAATATTATTTAATTTTAATTAACATAATGGGCATGGAGGAACATGCAAACGAGATCTAAAAAAGAGTTGTGTTGGAATATTAATAAATGTAGTAAGGGCGGCTTCTCATGAGCGTAATTTGACATTTATGGCGTGACAGCGTACCTGAATGCAGAATTCTGATTGGCCAAAATTCCGCCATATTGGATACGCTGACACTCTGCCGCCAAAAGTTGAGCAAAGTTCAACTTTTCGCGTAAAAATTCAGCGTTTTTAGAGGTTAAGGTTGCAACCGTTTCGTTTTCTTGGTTTTTGTGATTTACTGTCCATATTTGTAACTATTTGGAACTAAATCAAAAACAAATACAAATTTGTACAATCAAAATTCGAAGAAATATTCCAAAATTTAGGAAAAAAATATAATCTTGACATACGCGGCGGCATAAATTCTCCACTCCGTGAATGTTGCGCCAAAATCCACGTATTCAGCATTTGCGCCAGTTATGTCAAGTTTACGCTCATGAGAAGCCGGCTTAAAACCAAAGCCGTTTTGTCGCGTTCACTCGTTTGACATTGGTTCAAAACCGGTGGAACAGTGGGAAAATGCCCGATTCAAATCAGTTTTGAATTAATGTCAAAAAAGTGATCACGAGAAAACGGCTCAAGTATGCATGTTAAAGGACGCAGAATCATAACCTGTGGTGGAAACACCCTAGGTCATGGCAAGAAACGAGACGTTGCTACGTCATTACTGGTGCTTTGGCGTGGTGGGGGGCTTGAGATTTGAACTACACAAGCCTTATGTAGATAAGCTATCCTCTAGTAGTAGTAGTATATATTATTCTTGTCGCACATGCACATGCATGTTTTCAATGGCCGAGTTCGTTTTTGCACTCTACGGAACGGAACGGTATACCGTATGAGCATGTATGTCTTGACGTCATACGCAAAGTGCGACCTGAACAAAGTCATAAGCCTAAAGGATCGATAGAAAAATGGCAGTGGATAGAGGTCCGAAAATTCGGATCTCTAGTGTTCATACTAAAGATCCGCTAATTCTCGGATTTTCAATTTGTATATTAGGGGCAGTGATGTGCCTGTAGACAATGACAACGTAAACAATTGATTGTCTACGCGTAGACAATTCGAATTGTTTACGTGAGCATTTGTCTACACGTTGTCTACATGCGGCGTAGACAATAACTTATTTTAAAAAGTTCGAAAAAAAATATCAAAAGTTACTATACTATCACCACTTCGATATTAGCATTCATTATTTTACATTGTTGACACGTTGTCTACATTGTCTACATTATCTACACGTAAAGTAGACAATGAAAGTCTACGTGTAGACGCACATCCCTGATTAGGGGTCCGAAAATGCGGATCTTAAGTGGTAATATTGAAGATCTGAAAATAGATGTTTATTTCTAATACTGTCGTAATTAAGGAATATTATAACATTTCAATAAAATTGATAAAATGCTTGAATTTTTAAGAATTTATACTAGAAAAAATTGATCCTCTAATCCTTTTTGTGCAGAATGGCTAATCAAGTATACTCGAAAATATTTGGTTGATGCAATTTCAAATAAAAAAGTACAAAAAACAAAACTAAGTACCTTTTTATTTTTTTTAAACATTACATAATTAGAAAAAAAAAATCTTTTTTTTAAGGGTTGATAGGGTAAGAGGTAAAAAATGTGATTTATTAGTTCCGATCCTTCTGCACTGCATGCAAAAATAGGCTTTCTCACTAGAAGGCAGCTTTGTTACTGAACCGCACACTTTATGTTTACATCTAGCGGTATTTTTTGGGCTTTGGCCTTTTTTTTTTTATTATATTTTTTATATTATTATATTTTACTTAGTATGTAGGTAATTAAAGACATGAATCACACCGTAAGTAATCTTCATTATCACTTTGTTACATACCTATATCACAAATCCATTTTAGAATAGGTACTATTTTGTTTTTCTTCAATTCGTTTTTGTAATAAAACATAAGAATCCGGACAAAAATATTATTCTATTTCTGCTAAAGATATTTCTTCTTCAAGAAGAAGTGGATCAATTTGTTGATGAT